TCTCAGGTAATATCCAGAATTAAAGTTAAAGGAACTTGGTGTTTAGCTAGAGGTTTTTGAGCGTTCAACGGAGCTAAAAAAATTCAAGAAATAGTTGGCTATTGTTGGAAGATTTTTCTTACACTCCTTGTTAAGTTGAAATTTCTTTATTTCCTTTCTTAAAAACTCAATACAACGTGCTGGCTCGGGGACTAACTCCACTCTCTCTAGGAAAGTGGTCTCTAGCTTATAAAGGTGACAGTTAGCAAGCTGTCAATATTTGACCAACGTCACTTTTTCTCACTTAGCTAGCGAATCATGTTGAGTTACGTGAAACAGATCCCGCATACTAAGTATGTACCTTCGGTTTGATGATTCTTTCCAAAACGATTTTATTCCTAAAAATTTCATACTTTTGTAATAAAGATCGGGCAAAAATAAAAAATTGCGTAGATTAGAATTATACTCAGAAAGATAACTGAAGAGAAAATAGCCCTTGAAGTTTGTTGCATAACAACAGAATAAACAGAAAATTCGAGGAAGATAGGGCGTACCCAGATTGTCATAATTGAAGTGCATCTTACCGCAAGATAATTGTAACACAGATAATAAAAGTGCGACTTGTTACTGCCTTATGTGTTTGTTCAGAATTGCTCATTTTTTGTATGGCCGAAAAGAAAGCCATGGAAGGTCCTGAAACCTTACCGATCTTCAACCGGACAAGACCACATACAGAGAGAATCACACTCCTACTTGATAATATTAGTTCGGGACGCTTTGGAGGATAATTCGGGCACAATTCACAAACGTTTTCGAGACCCAGATGCGGGCAGCCGAAGGTTAAAAGTTCTCATTCTCAGTGCTCATTACACCTTTTCGGTCAGCGCAATTTGGTTAAAAATGTTAAAATGATGACCTTTCAGTCGGTTTATTAACGTCAAACCGCTCCAGTATTAGTTTTATTCGTCTTTCGGTTGCTGTTCGAATCTCAAAAACGTCATTGCTTAAGTTCTCTAATGAAATTTTATTCCCTTAGTGATATTCACGATATTTAGACTTGGAGGATGAAAGCTTTTAGATTTAATATTAACTTCAAGCAAGGGAGGAGGCGCAGCCTTATTCCTCATGTCGACGAAGTATATCCCACATTACCTCTTTTGAACTCAGATCATGAAGAGGACAGTGACACTGAAATCGAGTGAACTTTATCCTCTACTGCAATAGTATTAACTTGCAAACTGTGAAATTAAGAACGATAAAGAAAATGACTTTTCAGACAAGCGCTAAAACATGTTTCTGTCTTCTAAAATCAAAATGGTCGGTTACCATTCAGTTCGCAAAACTGAATTAGATTTTAAATAAACGCCGTCTTCGCATAAACGCCGCCCTCAAATAACCGCCGCACTCGAATCACGAAAAATTTAATAAACGTTGCGGCGTTTAATCGAATAAATACGGTATGTGAAATAGTTTTGATCGCGCGTTCGGTTTACAAGCACGTTTGCTTCTCTTACCCACTTGTTATTCATTTTCCCGGAAAACGATTTGGCTGGATAACACTACAGAAGTAAGTCATGTCGTTAACCAATTTCGTAATTCGATTTCTTACGTATATCATGTAATTCCTTTTCATTAGATCGAGTAAAGACGTTATACGATTTGCAATCCAGCCAATTGTTGAGGGCGAATCATTTTCCCTGAAGCATGTACTATTTCCATAAAGTACGGATGCATTCGTGCCCAACCCTACTAATGTATTACACTCATTTAACCGAAGTTTCAAAGGATTTTTATTATATTTTATCTTTATAAAGACCCTCCACAATACAAAACTGTACTGGTTGATTATTGATTCTAACTCTTGTTTGTACTATGCAGAACGGTTCTCAACTTCAAAACGGATCATCGAAAACATTCTTAGCATTAATAAAATTTGAAGTAACGTTCCCTTCTGAACAAATTTCTTTGGCGTTGACCCCACTCGATTTTAGAAGTTTGAAAATTTTCATTAGTCTGGTCGAAAATCAGTACTCATAAACATACATGTATAGTTGACGCCTTCCATACGATATGTGTAGCAGCCTTTTGTGCCTCGGGTGGAAGGTCAAGATTGGAACAACACCTCGACTAAAAAAGATCACAACCAAAGAAAAGTTAATTTACTATAGACGTTATACGATTGGTTAATTGTGAGTAGTAAAAAGTTAAATAAGGTCCACATTTCCGAATTGTAACGTTCACTATGCTGCTATAGTCGCCGATTTCTGTTAAGGGAATACAAACGTATAGATGTCAGAACCAATGTATTGTGTTGGAGGATGCCAAAGAAACTGCACTGATTTAAAAAAGTTCGCCTCTATCATTTACTTTTAACGCGAGTAAAATAAAACCGTGTTGTAAGCATCCAGGTTACAACAACCGACATTACATGTCAGAAGAATTTTCGATTGGATGTCTAAATCATTAGTTCTGCTTCACCATGATTTGATTTGTCCAGAAAACTCGTACTAATCCGTCGAGCAATCAAATGTTATCCACATTTCCAAACTACCTGGTTAAGATACATGCCAGTTAGCTCAAGACCATCTACATATTTCCAGATTTCCACATTTTCTGACCACCAAGTTAAGATAAACGCGAGTTAGCTAATATTAACACATTTTAGTTTAATAATGATTGTATACATATGAAAATCATATATGTTTAAGGTAGAGATTTCACTTTCGCTCTGATAAAAAGGTTTGCAAGTCCTAGGTTTAAAAGCTTGTTCAATGCATGATGATTTTGCATTTTTACGGAAAAACACCGTGCGGGACATTTGAACATAATTATAGCGGATCTCGCAGTGCGCGCAGCCGAGCCGAATAATTATAGGAAATAGAAGTAACCAGGAGCCTATTACTTGGAGCGTTCAACTCCCATACTGACCCAATGTCACGGCATTTTCACAAAACGGTTTGTTTTTAGACTATCTTTTCACGGGAAATAGGCTACTCGAGCTCACTTAGGTAATACGATCCATGAAACGCGAAGAAAAAAATGGCGGCCCTATGCGGGGACATCTTCATATCAAAACTACGCAAATTTCGTCTTTCTTTTGCCGTATTCCAGTATTCTTATCCTTCCTTTCCTTGCATATCCCACTGTCCTTTGCAAATTTTTTCACACTTGAGAAAAAAATTAGCAGGAGTGCGGATCATCGTTGTATTTTTATTTTTGTTTTTTGTTTTTTTTAATTCTCTTGTGTATCAAAGGTTATCCGTCTTCTGATTCTGGCCCCTCGAAAGGAAATTTCATGAAAAGAGTTCAAATTCAAGACGATGAAGAGGCGCAATGCCAGCGATGATGGAGAGCGCGGAAACAAGAAATTGCGTGAGCAAGTTTTGTGCAAGTTGTCTTCATCTCAAGAATCTCCATTCACACTGTCCGTAAAGGACATTTTGTGACGCAGGATTTAACAGAAGCTGGTGCAACAAAATGAAGAGCGTTTTTCTAGATCGTCATAGGCGTCAAGAAGTAAGCCGCCATCATCACGATTTAAAGGAGCATGGGCGGAGTTAATATGCAGTTAGGCATGTGTGCTCCGATAAAGCTGAATTTTCTTTTTTGCAAAAGAAAACCGCTTTTGATGCTCTTTCAAACGTGTACTAAACTGACCTTTGGTCTGTCTGATGTATTTGCTGTCACGGTCATTGCAAGGAATGGAATAAATGGCGTCGGTTCGTTGTTCTTTCGTGACAGGATCCTTAGGTTTGGCAAAAATATGCCCCGAAGTCTGGAAAGGGTTTTGAGCAACTTTAACGTTGTGAGTATTCAAAATTCACTTGATGGGTTCCGTAACACCCTGAATGTAAGGAATAACAGCAAAATCAATCGCTGGTTCCCTTTCATCAGGAGTGCTACTAGTTGTAACTGGTTTTTGGTAGTTACAGAGAAAAGTTTTTGCATAGCCATTCGCTTCTAAGACATTAGAAACATATTTCCTCTCCTCAGCCTTCGAATCGAGTGAAGATGAAAGAAAGTCAGCCCTTCTGAGTAAAGTTTTGGCTACAGACTTTTTAAGGAAAATAGGGTAGTGAGAATCGAAAGCGAGATATTTGTTTACACTCAAGAGTGTGTCCACGAGAGCACTAGACAGTCGTGCTACATGCCATCTCACTGATTTCAGTGAAACTTTGCCAGTTTAAAGTGTCTAACTCAAAAATACAAAAGACAAACTGGTTTTGGTTTCTTCTTGGGGGAGATAGACCACCCACCCCCGGTTTTTCTTGGTTTTCACCAAGAAAATCGCTTCAAAATAGGTAAAATGCATGAAGCTCTCACTGCGATGGTATTTTACCAATTACTCTTAGGGTTTGCACACATATTTTACATCCGCCACAAGTACCAGTCAATTTGATTGACGGCTTGTCAATCAACTGAGGCAAATGAACGACTGTGTTTTTAGACTTTTTGATTCATCCAAATATTTGACAACTTTGAGGTCAAATATCTCCCCTTGCCAGAAAGCTACAATACTAATCTTGATTACCCTTTATAATCCATCATTTCATCTCTGAAAACCATCAAAAAAATATTTGGGCACTACCGTATTTTGTCTTGGATGCCTTTTAAAATCTGCGACTGTGACAAGTTTCTCTCAACTACACTTGTCACGCAATTCTTGCTCTAGACGGTCACTTGACCAGAGAGATGCATGTGAGCGAAAAATCGATAGGAAGATCGTAGCGTTTTTTTCTTCTGTCGTATATTACTTTTGAGATGTGCTAAAATCAGCAAATATGGCTTTTGTACGGCACAAAGTATTAATTAGTCTATAATTTGATTGTTTATCATCATCATTTCTCATTTTAGGAGATGTCAAAGTCACACGCCGCGAGTTGGTTGACATTATTACAAGTTCCAGTGTGCTACAACTTCGGCTTTTACAGACGAGAAATTCTGCGCTTTCGCTTGGGAGCAAATATTAATAGCTCTATCAAACTAAAAACTGTGCTACTATCCCGAAAATAAAATTAAAATAGAGTTGTCGTTGTCACTTACCGCCGTCGAACATTTCCTCGCAGACCTCCGCCAAGCTAACTTCTGTTGCGTGACCCGAAGACTTTCATGAAGTCTTGAACTTGAATAATTCCGTAGGCATTATTCAAGCGCGTTGTTCATGCTGTCTGCTGGATAACATTTTCAGAATAACCTGCAGATCTCTTCGATCATTTGCCTGCTTCGATCGTAAAATATCTGCATTTTTTTCTCAAGCATTCTGTAGCGGCTGACACGAGCGAAGCAAATTTCAACGACAACTATGAGTTTCGCTAGTGAAGACGCACTATGAAGCGAGGATATATTGTACGGAAAAGACTTGAAACGTTTATTAGCGTAGTCGAGGTATCCAAGTACTTATCGTAAACTGAAATATGAAATTATAAGGAAGAAGCTGAGCTAAATTCTAAGATACGGACCAACATTCCAATCATTCCGATATAAAAGCAAGATCCCAAAAGACTAGCTAAAACTCTAAACCAAACTCACAAAAGACTATCTTCAAGGATAAAGGAGAACCGCTTGTAAACGAATTCTAACAAAACTAATAACCGAGTGGGAAAAACGAGCGGCTTACTAATAAAGCATGAAC